ATACACGTTATCTCATTGATAATTTTTATATTGGCTACCATGTTGCTACAACAATGTTTTGGGTAATGAGGTTAAATAAGATAGATGGTTAAAATTAATTTTACCTGTTTCCTTTTAATTTTAAAATGTGGCTCTTAAAAAACTTAACATTATATAAGTGTCATTCATTTTATTTCACTTAGCCGGTGTAGTCCCATATGAAGGTCCATCTTAAAGCTTGTCACATGTTCCCTCAGCACCTCCAATCCCTGCTGCCAGCTCAGTCCACCCACCTCTTATCTTGGCAGCCCCAGTGGAAACCCTCCCCCTCACCCTTTCCCACTCAGTCCCTGAAACTCCACCACGGCTTGAGATGCTTTTGCCCTCCATTCTATCAATGAATTTCTCCCTTTCTATGTCAATGGATTCTTACTTCTCACCTCTTCCATGAAACCTTACTTTTTTTTTTTTTTAATGAAAACAGCAAAGCTGATTATTATTCACTTTCTAGACATTCCAGTTTGGCCATAAAATTCATAGGACGATTACGTCTGACTGTTATCAAATACTCATTTATTCAACAGCATTCACGGGGCACCTCCAGGAGGCCAGGCACCATGCTAGCCACGGGGGTTACCTAATAATGTCAGCACATCGCCCTAAAATAAAGCATGGGGTGACATCAACAGGAACACATAGACTAAACCAACGCTCTCTTGCCCTCAGACCCAGAAGGACTCACTACTTGCAAACACCCTTCTCAGGAAGGAATTAAATGCAGCGCTCACATAACACAAGTCTTCCAGCTTAGAAACTTGAAACTGAATGACCCAATATTAAGCATTTCCCCTCTCCCACACTTTATATTTTCTCTTGTGTTTCCCTGACTACCTTATAAACTCCATTTGTCTTCCTTTTCCTTTGCTGAAACAGTATTAAACATGCCATATATATATATATTTCTCACAATAATGTAGATACCATTGTTGTTCTCATTTAAAGATGAGGAAACTAGTAAGGCACAGGGAAGTTAAGTAACTTGCCTGAGGTTATATAGATAAATAATGAAGCAAGATTTGAACCCAGGCAGCCTAACTCTAACATTTTCTGGTTGGATGGATTCCTTCTAGAATACATAACTATTAGCTTATCCTCAGGAGAGAGCACAAAGAACACCAAGGACCATGTAAGCTACTGGTGCCAAGGGAGAGAAGCTCACCTAAAATGAAGCTTGCAGAGGAAAAGAAAAGCTGAGAGGAGACAGGGAGGGAGGAAGGGAGCAAGAGTGAGCAGCTGAGAGAATGAGAGGGGATATGAGATATTACTGATTATTTTGTTTAAATTCTTGGAGAATACAAAGCCAGAAGCTACCTTTGGTCTTCCCAGTTATACATGTAAATAGGGTCTTTTGTCATTTGTAGCTGTTGGTTCTTAACCAGAGGGTTGTGGACCCTGAGAAAGAAGATACCTACTAAAAAGCGCTTCTGGTGGCTAACTGGACTCAAAAACAAGGAAAACAAAACAGAGCCTAGCAGCCATTTCTGCACAGGGGCCCCTCAAGCACTCTGCATGTCAGGGAGAAGCCCACACTGATCTACCTGACTCTGCTCTGGGCTGCCTGCTTGCACTGTTTCTGCCAACTGAGCCAGGCCTTAAAAATGAGTTCCTGGAGTCCTATTTTAACAAATAAGACTGAGGTTTTCCTCCTAAAACAACTACAATACATCCCCATCAACATCTTTACTCACCAGAGTGGCTCCATTCTGACCACTCAGGACAGGGCTTGTTAAGCCAATCAAACAGTGAGGATTTGGAGTCTTCATTTGCATGAGGATGGACCAATCAAGGATCAGGGGTGGGGACTTCTCTCAATATAAGTCAGCTCCCCTTCGTCACTAAAAGTGCACTTTCCATTTCCACCAAAGACTCAGTTTCCCTAACTGACCTGAAACTCCAGAGCAGAGTGAACTGGCACAGAACTGAGCAGGCCAGTGAGGCCTAGCCACAGAGGGGCTTGGCCCCGGGGCTGCCTCACAGCCGGGCAGTGCTCACAGCTGTGTTGTATCACCCCAAACTGGGGATTCCAGTTGGCATGGAATTGGCACCAATGACCACCAGTTGACAGGGTCCTCCCACAATTGTACACAAAGTTCTCTGTATACGAACAGGACTATAAAACAGTGTATATGCATGTCTCTGGGGAGAACCTCAGAGGAGATTGAGTCTACCTAACTGCCATGTGTACAGCATTGTAGCCAAATCTCTTCTGCTAAAATCTGGAGGGGACACTTAGAACAAGGCAACTTTCATATGGCTAGCCGATGCTTACATTAGGTCTATTCCAGGAGCTACTTACACAGAGCAGGAAAGCTATTTCCTACAGAAAGCCAAGTGCCACATTGCCTAAAATCTCTCCATAAAAGATTTATTGATTACAACATCTAACTATCTCTTAAAATGCTAAGCAAGTTCCTGTTAAGCATGATGAATTGAAAATGCATGCTTGCAACCTAAATGAATGAAAAGGAAAATGTGACACACACATACACACATATATGTATAATGGAATATCATTAATCCATAGAAAAACAAGGAAATCTTGCCATTTGTGACAACATGGAAGATGAATGGGCCTTGAGGGCATTATGCCTAGTGAAATAAGTCAGACAAAGACAGGAGAAATGGCGAAGATATTAAGAAAATACACACACACAAAACCCACAAGCTCATAGAAACCGACGAAAGTACGGTGGTTATCAGAGGGCAGGGTGGTCAAAAAGAGTAAAGGGGAATAAATAAAAAGGAGACTTGACTTGGGGGGGGGAGTAAACACACAATACAATAGTGTAGAGGCTGTATTAGAGAATTGTCCACCTGTGATCTATATAATTGTATTAACCAGTAATACCCCAATAATTTCAATAAATATTTTTTTAAAAACAAGCACCATGTGATCTCGCTTATAAGTGGGCTCAAAAACACAAACACCCAGGCTCATAGGCAAAGAGAATAGACTGATGGTTACCAGAGCCTGTGGGTGGGGGATGGCCAAATGGGTGAAAGTGGTCAAGAAAAACACATTTTCAGTTATAAAATAAATAAGTTCTGGGGATATATGGAACATGGTAACTATAGTTAATAATACTATACTGTATATTTGAAAGATGCTAAGAGAGTAGATCTTAAAAGTTCTCATTACATACTAAAAAAATTGTAGCTATGTGTGGTGATGGGTGTTAACTAAACTTACTGTAATATTTCACAATGTATACACGTATGGAATTACTAACTTGTACACTTGAAACTGATATAACACTACATGTCAATCATATCTGAATTTTAAAAAAGCATGATTATGTCAGCTTTTTCTCCAAAGCTAACTAAAATGATAGGATGTCAGCCCTGGTTCTGTTTGTCTTCAGGCCCATTTCTCACTCCTCTCTTGTTTTGCTCTGCTCTATTATGCAGAGGGACTGCCCTCTGTGAGGCTGGTTTCCCAGGCTTCCATGTGTTCAGACACAGAAGCACTGATGGGAGGTTACGTAGTGTGGAATAGAAGAAACCAGAGTATTTCTCATCCTCCTGTCTGCTCAGGCAGTGAATTTTAGGCAGTGGCTGGTGCTCCTCTGAGCCTCCAGCTATGACTAGACCAAATTTGCTATGGTTTTAGCTTCTACCAGCCTCTGGTTACACCACCACTTCCCTTTATTCCTCCAGCCTGGGTTAACAGAATTAATCATTTACAAAGGAAAAAAATAATGGGAAAAAATCTCTGTGAAGAAAGAATTTAAAAATACATTTTTTAGAATCTGTTATCTTTCATTCAGCAAATAAATAGGATCTCAAAAGAAAATACTAGACTTCAAGAAATAAAGACATTTATTTTGAGATATTGTAGAAAATGAGCTATTTATATACTCAGATTGATTAAGTAAACCACCCTTCAAGTAAACATATCTCAGAAGAGGCAAAGCAGCTTATAAAAAACCTGTAAAGCAAGTGAGGTCTGGCCTGATGTATACTATGCCCCACTTGGATAATCCTTGAAATAATTTGGAACCCAGTGCTCTTGGATGTCATTTAGGAAAGTGACCTGCTCAAATAACCAATGCTACATGGTTTCAGATATTATCTCTTGTAGTTCGCAATTTTTCTTATTTAGAAATGTAGTTATCTCCTATATACTATATATAATATTGAAAATATTTTAGCATTATTTACTCTGTTCTGTCTACTCCTTATCACCTGTGTGTTAATGCCCAGTGATAAATGCTACCACTCTTGCATATTCTATTTCTATTGCAAAATCAGTTGCATATATTTTGGGCTTTCGGTTTACTATATAATTGTGGGTTTTTATTCAATATAATTTTTATTATTATGCAGGTCAAATACCATACAATATCAGTTCCCTCTTCCTTTAGTGCACCTGGAAGGATTGTATTTTTAAAATGCTTTCTATCATATTAAAACCCATAAAATGTTCTCCTCTTGGTAAGTAGATTTAATATACTGCTTTTATTTGTATATACCTTTAAGAGCAAATGCGTTTTCCTGGAAACATGGCACTTTGCATTGGGAAACAGTTATAGGAATAAATTCTTTAAGCACCATTTAAGAAGTTTAGTTGAAATTTTGGAGTCTCACACAAAAATGCTGACTATTAAATAGTAATCTGTTATATACAATGCCAAATGAAAGTCTGCTATAATAATTCACTAAAGTTCAGTTTTTACATCGTTTTGATATATTTACCTCAACCAGTTTAGCCACAAATCATGCCTTATGGTTGTCATGTGAAGGCAGTAAAATATTATATACCTTCAGATGACCTCAATCCAGAAATGCTTTTCACTGTTCACATTTTATCCGTCAAATAGTATTTTCTTTAAGAAGTAAATACAAATGCCATTATTGGGAGAAGCTACCAGCCTGGGACAAGTTCTAGCATTTAGTGTTCTGACAGACCTTAATTTGGATATCAGCCAAAGTCAATAAAACTTGTTCATGCAGAACCTTACCTGGTTTTCACCACATCAAGGGGGTGCATCAGGCAAATTTCTACAAGACCTGAAAGATGATAAAGAAAAGTCCAATAAACACTTATGTAAACAATGGTTCTTATTTCCTTGAACTTATTGATTTCTCAAGTTTGAAGATTTGAATAAGAAACTTGGGACATTGGAAATGACAGCTAATAGTTGTAGGTTAGTGGCAAAAGACAAAAATATAATATGATTTTGTTACAGTGGAAGCAAGATATGCAAGTACTTATTGGTGCCCTGGCAAAAGCAGAGGGTGTAGGTAAAAGAAAATGAAAAGAAATTAGATGTCCTAAATCCCAATCAACTACATAGGAACTACTGTATCTCAGTCCAATCCAATAAACAGATATATGAGGAAAAAAGGGAGGAAAGAAAAAAAGGAGAAAAGAAGGGAAAGAAGGTCTTTTAGCAACCCCTACATCACCTACTAACATGGCAAATCATGAGCCTCAGTTTCAGGATTCATGAAATAAAGATTAATAGCTTAACAGAGAATTTGTATTAAGTGTTTATTATATGCCAGGCATTGTTCAAAGCAGAACTTAGTTTATTTCATTTAATCCCCACAGGAGCTCTTTGTGATAGAAAGTAATCTTATCTAATTTTACAGTAGAGATAATTGAGTCACATTAGATTAAATAACTTGTCTAAAATCTCATAGCTAGGAAGTAGTTTTAATCCCACAGAACCCATGATCTTAACCATTGTACAGTGAGGAAGAATTTATAGATTCTTACATATTCATTATAAAGCCCCCTTCTTATTGTCTGAGCAGACAAGAGTAATATTAATAATCACAACAGTTACCTTACCTGCTGTCCCTACACAGGTTGGTTGGTCATTTTTTTTTTAAGGTTTCTATTGATGAGAGAGAGAGAGAGAGAGAGAGAGAGAGAAACAAGGAGGGAGGGATGGAGAGAGAAAGAGAGAGAGAAATATCGATTGGCTGCCTTCTGCAGCCCTCTATTGAGGATTGAGTCTTTAACCTGAGCATGCGCTCTGACCAGGAATGGAATCTTTGACTTCTTTGAGCATGGGACCATGCTCAACCAAATAAGCCACACTGGCCAGGGTCACATTATGGTCATTTAACATACATTATCTCCCCATTTAACATAATTATTGAGCAAGAACAATTTTATATCATATTTACTTGAAGATAAGCAAACTAAAGTAGATAATGTTAATTGATTTGCCTTAAAACTACCCAACAGTATTACAGGTCTTTTATTAAAAGCAGAGCACTTACCTCTCCTTTATTTTCAAACTAATTTAATTTGAGCTTATCTGTAATTTAGTTCTTCTTCTCCATCATATTTATAGACAGAAATATCTTTTATTCCCTTACTGGTCAGGTTCAAGAAGCTCAAGTACTTGTACTTTCCCAAAGGCTGGCTTTGCTTCCAAAGAACTTTAGAAAGTTCTCCCTGCCGTAGTTTATAAGTCATATGTACTGATCCAAAACAACTGTTTTATTTTGGCTAAAACAAATAGGACTCGATATTGATTTCATTTCAGCAAGGAATGCTCCATAGTCATTGGTAACCAAGTCACTGACCCAATCAAAGTCATTGCCTGGAGATTAGAGAAAGGAGCAGAGAACAAGGGCAACAAAATTACTGGGTATACTAACAAGCCTCTGAGAAACTGTTTTTGCTTATGAGTAAGCTTATTATTCAAGAGTGCAGGGGTGGGTCTCTTCCTTGCAAACAGTAAGGTCTCAATACACTTCCTCTTGTTTGAAAATTCACATTCACCTTGAACATTAAATGACACAATAAAGCAGATGGATTTAATTGATACTATTTACAGAACATTTCACTACAAAGCTGGAGAATACATATTCTTCTTAAGTGCACATGGGACATTCTGAAAGATAGACCACATGTTAGGATACAAAATAAGTCTTTGCAAGTTCAAAAAGATTGAAAGCATATCAAGCATCTTCTCAGATCACAGTGACATAAAACTAGAAATAAACTACAACAACAAAAAAAAAAAACCTAAAAAAATATTCAAACACATGGAAGGTAAATAGGATGTTATTAAACAATGGATTTAAACTAATGGTTACAATGAGAACAAGGAAGAAATTAAAAAAAACTACCTGAGAACAATTGAAAATGAACACACAACCACAAATCTATGGGTTACAACAACATAAGCAGTCCTGAGAGGGAAGTTCACAGCATTACAGGCCTATCTCAAGACACAAGAAAAAGCTGAAATAAAGGATCTAACCCAACTATTAAAAGAATTTGAAAGAGGACAACAAGCAAAACCTAAATCAGAAGGGAGAAAATAATAAAAATCAGAGTGGAAATAAATGATGAGAGACTAAAAAGACAATACAAAAGATCAATGAAACCAAGAGCTTTTTCTTTGAAAAGATAAGCAAGACTGATGAACTTTTAAGAAGCAAAGAGAGAGGACCCACATATATAAAATCAGAAATGAAAGAGGCAAAGTAACAACTGACACCACAGAAATACAAAGGATTGTAAGAAAATGGTAGGGAAAATTATATGCAAATAGAATGGACAACCTGAGTGAAATAGACACATAAGGCTGATTGCAACTAAAGAAATTGTAAAGGTAATAATAATAATAAAAAAATCCCAGCAAAATACTATCAAATATGATCCAGCAATACATTAAAAAAAGTCATACACGATGACCAAGTGGGATTTATTCCAGAGAATCAAGGCTAGTACAATAATTTCAAATCAACAAATGTGATACACCATATAAAATGAAGGATAAAACTCACATGATCATACCAATAGATGCAGAAAAAGCATTTGACAAAATTCATTACCCATTTAAAAAATATATTTTTTATTGATTTCAGGGAAAGGAAGGTAGAGGAAGAGATAAAAACATCAATGATAAGAGAATCATTGATCGGCTGCCTCCTACACACCTCCTGCTGGGCTTCAAGCTCACAACCCACTCATGTGTCTTCACCAGGAATTGAACCATGACCTCCTAGTTTATGGATTGACTCTCAACCATGGGCCACACTGGCTGGTCTCCAGCACCCATTTTTTACAAATACTCTCAGCAAAGTGGGAATAAGAGAATCATACCTCAACATAATAAAAGCCATATATGACAAACCTACAATCAACAATATACTAAATGAGTAAAAACTAAAAGCATTTGTCTTAAGAACAGGATCAAGGCAGGGGTGTCTGCTTTCACCACTTTTATTCAATGTTGTACTGGGAATTCTAGCCATAACAATCAGACAAGAAAAAATAAGAGTCATCTAAATTGGAAAGAAGGAAGAAAATTCATAATTCTCAGGTGACATGATATTGTACATAGGAAATAATGAACTTTCAGAAACAGAAACTAAAAAAAAAAAAATCCAATTTAATATTGCAAAGACAACAACAACAACAACAACAACAAAAAAGTAATATACCTAGGAATAAACTTAACCAAGGAGGTAAAGACCAGTACTCAGAAGACTATTGACATTGAAAAAAGAAATGGAAGAAGATACAAACAAGTAGAAGCATATACCATGTTTATAGAGTGGAAGAACCAACGTAATTAAAATGCCCATACTATCCAAAGCAATTTATAGATTCAATGCAATTGCTATTAAAATATCATCAGCATATTTCACAGATCTAAAGCAAATATTTCAAAATTGTGTATAGAACTCAAAAAGGACCCAAATAGCTGTAGCAATCTTGAGAAAGTTGGAGGGATCATGATACTGGATATAAAACTGTACTACAAAGCCACTGTAATCAAGAGTCTGATACTAGCACAAGAACAACCATATAGATCAATGGAACAAAGAGATCCCAGAAATTTACCTATGCCAATCATCACAGCAATGCAAATTAAAATTATAATGAGGTATCACCTCACACCTGTCAGAATGGCTACCATTCATAAATCAACAAAAGACAAGTGCTAATGAGTTTGTGGAGAAAAGGAAATTCTAGTACACCGCTGGTGGGAATGCAGACTGCTGCAGCCACTATAGAAAACAGTATGGAGTCTCCTCAAAAAAATAAAAATGGCACTGAAGCTTGACTAAGTGATCCCACTTCTAGAAATACATCCTAAGAATCCTGAAACACCAATCAGAAAGGAAATGTGCACTGCTATGTTCATAGCAGCATTGTTTATAATAGCTAAGATCTGGAAACAGACAAATGCCCATCAGTAGATGAGTGGATTAAAAAATCCATGGTACATTTACACAATACTATGTGGCTGTATAAAAGAAGGATCTCTTACCCTTTTCTGCAGCATGGATGACCTGGGGACCATTATGCTAAGTGAAATAAGCCAGTCAGAGAAAGACAAATATCACATGATCTCACTTATATGTGGAATCTAATGAACAAAATAAAGTGATGAACAAAATAGATCTAGAGGCAGGGATGGATGGAACAGACTGGCAGTTCTCAGAGGGAGAGGGTTGTGGAGGATGGGGAGTGATTAACCACAGAACTTGTATACATATATGTAGACAATAGAGTGGTGAAGGCCTGGAGTGGGGCAGGAGCTGGTTGGAGGGGAAAAGTGTGTGTGTGGGGGGGAAATAGGGAGCATCTTTAATAATGTCAGCAATAAAAAATAAACTTAAAAAAGTTTATCCTGGAAACTCAGACTTTAGAATAACGTTCTTACCAACCAAGGCAGCAGGTAGATATCTATTAAGGGCATTTCTTTGTATCTTATGAGCATAAAGGAATAAGACACTAAGAATCAGTTTACCAAAGAAAGTCACACAGTTTCTCCCCTTGACTTGGAATTAGAAAAGAAGCAAAATAATAAACACCGAACAGCACTAGTTTGTGTAGGCCTTGAAAAGTTTACCAAAGAACGAAAAATCCAACAATTCATTAAAACTAACAGAACTTGGAGAATCTGTTCACATTTATATATACTAATTTGTTTATTTGCAAAATTGTTCCAGTTTCATGTATGCTAATATGCATTTCTGGTAGTAATATTTTAATAATTTTTATTTTCCCGGATAATAGTTATTTGCAT